ATATTATATTATATTATATTATATTATATTATATTATATTATATTATATTATATTATTGTATCAGTGTAGTGTAGTTTAGTGTAGTGTAGCGTAGCGTAGCGTAGCATAGCATAGCATAGCATAGTATAATATAGTATAGTAGGCCCAATTTTCACCCTCCCGAAGTCTCCATGTGGGCCCTGCACTTACCTGCATCCCAAACGGGCTGTGTGGGATTCCTGGGAGGGGCGGGAGGGGGCCAGTCAGAAGTGGGATTTGGGGGTTCTCCGAACTGCACAGAATCTTAATTAGGGGCTCTCCCAAACCAGCAGCCCAGCCCTGGTCCTCTCTTTGATTAGTTTCCATCTGTTGCTTCTTGTCATTCAACGGAATAGTTGACTCTCCTCTTCTTTGTGGCAGCCTCTTAGATATTGGAACCTTGCTATCATGTCACCCACTAGTCCTTCTTTTCATTAAACCAGCCATACCCAATTCCTGCAACCATTCATCCATTTGTCTGAAATGGTACAGAGTTTCCTGCATGAGCAAGGGGTTGGACTAGAAAATCTCCAAAATCCCTTCCAACACTGTTATTCTGTTATTCTGTCAATTCAGATTTCCAAATGCAGAGGTTTCCCTGCACCGAGTGGGATGTATTGCTGGTGAATTAAATGTTGTTGTTGGGTTTTTTTTGCAAAGCACAGGATTTTCCCTGATCATACTCTTCAGCTAATTCATTGCTAGGCCACACAGGTGGCTGGATCAAAAAAGATGCCACTTATGGAATTCTCCCACATGGCCCAGGAACAGAGGGCTGCTCTCCTTCCTTTCCTTCATCTTTACAATGGAAGTGAGCGATTGTGAGCAGTAGAGGAAGCCCAAGTGATTGTGAGAACCAGGGGTGGGATTCAAACAGTTCGCTAGAACTGGTTGTTAACATTCTAAGCAGTTCGGAGAACCAGTTGCTAGAAGAAATTACTGGCCTAATCCTGTAAGGAAGGCAGGAAGGAAACATTCTGGTGTTGCTTACAGAAACTGCCTCTCCATTAACCCTTATTACATTCTTGGCAGGACTAGACTTCCTGTCTCAGGAACGTCTCTGGGTTTTTTCTCCTCCTTTTCTGGTATTTTGCTTGTGTGGAGTGACCATTCAAAGTTACAATGGCACTGAAAAAAGTGACTTATGACCATTTTTCACACTTATGACTGTTGCAGCATCCTCACAGTCATGAGAGGCCAGGCGAGGAGATGCGTGCCTCGATGTGAGGGATGTTGAGTTGGCTACACCCACCCAGTCACATGACCACCAAGCTACACCCACCACCTAAGCCATGCCCACAGAACTGGTTGTTAAAAATTTGAATCCCACCCCTGATGAGAACCCCATGGGGTGGGTAGCAGAGCATGGGGTATCTTAGGGAGTGAAGGAAGCCCTGGGATACCCAAGATGTTCTATCGCCAGGACAAAGCAGACTCGAAGACCGGAGTTGAATTCAGCTCTTTATTAGCAACCAGTAACTTCAACTAAAGTCGAGCCTCGGCAGCCCTTTTTATAGCGGCTGCTCGTGGCTTGCAACCAAACTTCCCGCCGCTTAGGCGGCCAATCCGAAACTGTCGTTATTAACCAATCGTTACATTGCGTAACTAACCACTAGGAATGTAGTCTTAGAAGTCTGTATTTGAATACACTGCACAAGGAAAGTGGTTTTGTGCCTGAAGTAGGCCCTTCTGGTTCATTCCTGTGGCACCCCATGTGCAATCAATGATCTGCACATTATTTTAACAATTGCATTGGGGGGAGAATGAATGAGGGGTTAGTTAATGATGTGGTTCATTTAACACTTATACTGATTTTCAACAGTAATGGCAAGGCTTCATTATTGTCCTAACTCAAGGATTATCTATATATGTTTCAAACCAATCTATAATGTAAAAAAAAAAGCAACATCTGCATATAATAAGGGACAGGTTTTCTGTGTAATTAATGATGGACAACAGCCATCATTCTGAAGTAATGAGGTCTCCAGATCTATGAGATGGATATTAAATAGTGAAGGACCAGAATACAACTTTCTCTCACTTCCTGATTCATTATAATATCACCTGCAATTAAAGCTTTTCTATTGCGTCTAATTCGCATTATGCTTTACGTATTACTCATCTTGATATGCTGCCTATATTAAATATTTGAGACAACAGTTGAATTGCTTGTAACTTCAAGGGGATGAAGAGACACTAAATTTTATGTATACTTGCTGAGATAAAGGAGGGAAACGACTTCTATATATATTTACTTTACTTTTTCTGTGTTGTATTGTTACTTTTTTCTTTTATGGTGTGAAAAGGTTCAAAAACTTTTGAAGATCAATATAGAAATTAATCTGATTGTATATGCATGTAAAAATAATCAGAAAGCAGTTTTTGTTTTCTTCATCATAAATGTTGCAAACTTTTTTATGTTTTAGAGTATATTTACTCTAAATTTTATATTTTATAATAAATTGGATTAACATAAGTATTTCTATCAAAGTTTGCAGGGTATTTGCAACCATGGAGCTTTTACTAGTGGAATAAAGTAAAAGATTCATCAATTTTTCAAATAGGCTCTTATCCATTAAAAAGACATTTCCTCCATTCCCCATACTTGAGCCAATATGAAATATTAAACAATCAAATATTAGAATTCTAGAACCCATGGCTCAAAAATCCAGCAAATTAGCTGCTTGAAAATCAGTTTCTATTTGACTACTGTATGTAATAAAGTGGTATGTTAGTTTTCTCTGCAGTTTCCATTTAATCTCCCGTTTCTTTGGCTTGCTATTTTATTTTGGTGAGGAAATACTTGAAACTCTCTATGGTGATTCTCCTTACGCAATTAAAGTTCCCATGCTACGTGTACTGCAAATTGTTAATTCCCCTGTTAGGTGTCAGGATGCCTGCAGAATTTGGTGTGTGTGGCTTCTATCTCTGTTTTCACAACAAACAAGTCAATGCACAGACATAATTCTCTGCTAGCTACCTTCCCACATTCTTTATGAAAGCCTCATTATTTCCAGTCCCTGAATGGAAGCTTAAGAAAAGCAAATCTAGCAATGATCAAATATATTAAGGGAAGTCTTGTTAAGAGGACTGGGGTGGGGAAGAAGCAATTTTCTATACTAGCTATTTATAAACGCAGTAGAAAAACAACTTTCCTGTTGAATTTTCACAGCTATTAAAATACATTTTTACTATTCCCTTAACTCAATATTTTATGCACGGTAATATTTTTACATAATTAGCACAACTATTAGCCCAATGAAGCCAAATAATTGTGGTGAAGCTGTTCAACCTTTATTGTAGAAGCAAATGTTCAGATAATATAAATGTTATTTACAGAGAAATGGGGTATATGTTCTATGCTCGGAGGAGGACGAGGAAGAGGAAAACAAGGAGAATGAGGAAGAGGACAAGGATGGTGAGGATGAAAAGGATGAGGACGGCAAGGAGATGATGATGATGATGATGATGATGATGATGATAATGATGATAATGAGTCCATAACTGGATGTACTTTGGGTAACTTTCATTCTCTTGGAGATACTTAGCACATACACACACACACACATATATATATACATACATACACATACATACATACATACATATTCTCAACTGATCTATGCAAGTGTATTGTAGGGAAAGGGCCAGTGCGGATATTCATAAATTAATACAAGTGCCTCTCCTAGACTCCTGACTAATTTGATATCAGGTGAACTTTGCTGCTAAGTTGCCCTAAACAGGAATGTTCAAGTTCACCAGTTTTCCTAATTCCTATTTTTATGGAGTTTGATTCATATTGGACATGGATTAAAAATTAAGAAATAGGTTTCTGGGGCAATGAAATCACACATAAAGCTGAAATAGCAATTCAAATAGCACTTAGACTTACATACCACTTTATAAGTTCTCTCTAAGAAGTTTATAGAGTCATCATATTGCCCCTAACTATTTTGGTCCTCATTTTACCCACCTCAGAAGGATGGAAGGCTGAGTCAATCTTGAGCCTGCTGAGATCTGAGCTGCCAAATTGCAAGCAGCTGGCAAGCAGCGGAAGTAGCCTGCAGTACTGCACTCTAACCACTGCGCCACCGTGGCTCATGAAATGAAAACTATATGATATTTCATAATTCAATTACAGTATTATACCATTATTTTGGTCTCTAAAATATTATGTGCATTTTTTTACTCTTTACTATTCACTCTTATCTTATATTTTTCTCTGAGGTTGGGTTTCTTCTTGCACAAGTTTTATTATTATGTTAGATAACATTATCAATGCTGTTGATAATGCTGTTGTTGAGCCGCGGTAGTGCAGTGATTAGAATGCAGTACTGCAGTCTACTTCTGCTGACTGCTGGCTGCAATTTGGCAGTTCGACTTTCACCAGGCTCACCCTTCCATCCTTCTGTGGTAAAATGAGGAGCCAAATTGTTGGGGACAATATGCTGACTCTGTAAACCTTAGAGAGGGCTGTAAAGCACTGTAAAGTGGTATATAAGTCTAAATGCTATTGCTGTGACATGAAATTAAGTTTGGTGGCTGATTTTCACAATCCTTACATGTTATAAATGACTTCTCATTTATTTTCTCTTGCTACTGGGTCTTTCAGTTTGTTTAAGGTTGTTTTTTTTAAGGATTTTGTAGATTTGTAGCTATAGGGGTTGTAGCAAGGGGTTGTAGTAACCTGCTAGTAGTTCTGATTCTTTTTTTATGCACAAAAGGATTAAATCCTCCCAAGGGCTGATACTTCATGTCAGAGCAAACAGAACACCAAGAGTCCAATAACCTCAGCTACATATATTCTCCGCTTCTGCAAATCTCATATCCTTTTTCTCAAATTTCCCCACCATGTGTTTCCTTATTATAAATTACAAAAAGTAGCTGTACCAACACTGAAACATAGCACATATCTCTAAACAGGTGCAGGGATAATAATTCAATCTTCATGACCCTTCTGGGCTCTGTGATTGCCACAATGAAGTCAATTAACTTCACTGGTAGCCTCTGAAGTGGCCAACTGTCTTCAAAATCGGATTGAGGCCACTGGCTCATTTTAAACATTATATTAAAATAAATGGAAATTTGGAACAGCCATTTCAAAAATATACAGCTTAAAAACAAAGGTATCTTCAGAGAAGGCATGCCTCAATTACAAAATATAGGCATGTAATCATATTCATACCACATCTTTGTTATGGGAATGTGGAAAAAGGTTTCTTTAATAATCTGCATGTTCACAAGAATCTTTGATGCCATATTGTGCCTCAGATTTTAGTTGAAAGAAAGGAAATTAGTAGTTGCACGTTAGTTGTTTTGTAGAAAATGAGTACACTGGCATCTACAGTAAACAAAGTAAGGATTTAAATGGATTTATTTTCCCACTCTTTGAAGAAAATTCCCTAGGATAGCAGATGATGGAGGTTCTAGATCCAAAATTTTCCATAGATTGGTTCGTATTTGCCTCGTCCAACAGACAGTGAAGGAGGATGCAACACATTTCACTGTTAAACAACTGCTAGGCATAAAGCTACATTTGTGACAGAACTGATGATCTGATCAGACATGACAAGCCAAATTTCTGGGTTGATAGATTAATGGCAGAACTGATGAACTGGGAATACAGACCAATTAAATGTCTAAGCAGAGGGCTAGGTTAGGTAAACGAATGACAGAACCAGTGATCTGGTCACATAAGCCAAGCCAAAGACCAGTTATCTGGAAAAGGCAAGGCAGAAGAGACAAAAATCATTTATTTGACAACTCACCAAGGAGCCAAGCAAGATTGACAGGCCCAGCTTCTTGCTATTTGGAGTATATGATACTTGATGAATTATCAAAAGGTACTTGCCACCTTTTGGATAACTTCATTGTTAATGCTCCTGTATAAGTATAAGGAGTCTTTCGATGGACCAATTAGTGCTTTCTACCAATCCTTGAGCCAGCAGAAATATTACATACTCTTCTTTTCCTTGTAGTTTACACCACATACTTATAATCAGAGGTGGTGTTCAGCGGGTTCTGACCAGTTCTGGAGAATCAGTAGCAGAAATTTTGAGTAGTTTGGAGAACTGGCAAATACCACTTCTGACTGGCTCTGTCCCCATCTATTCTCTGCCTCAGGAATCCCAGCTGATCGGCTGGGTCTTCTTTGGTTGCCCCACATAGGAGAAGGGGGCTGGAAATCAGGTTAGTGGGGTGGGGAGGGAATGGGGATTTTACAGTATCCTTCCCCTGCCGTTCCCACCAAGCCATGCCCACCAAGCCATGCCCAAAGAACTGGTAGTAAAAACATTTGAATCACACCACTGCTTATAATATACTGGTTGCATTATTTCAATGCAAGAACATGTAAACTAGATTGCTTAGAAGGACATTTCCCAGAACACCTTGCCATTCACTATGGCAAATCCAACATTGGAGGCATGTCGGGTGTGTAGTAGTTAAGCTGCTGGAATGGAAGTGGAAAAACCACAATAGCAACATTACTAATTGTATAAAGTACTAGGTGGGCATTTAATGTACTAAAGTTGCAGAAAGAGTGCTGACTATTTTCCCCTTAACCATATAGCACCACCGTTCATATGGATCCTGGAAGATTTTGGAGACTTGACAGGTATAAAGGATAGAACAAGACTGTCCTGCTATCCAAAGGAGAACAAGACTGTGTTTGGGGACCTAAAACAAATCGGTGTTTGACCGATCCACCCATAAGAGAATCACCTCACTGCAGCCTCAAATACCTTTGCGGGGGTGAGGAAACCAGTGTTGGGATTCAAACATTTTTACTACCGGTTCTGTGGGCGTGGCTTGGTAAGCATGGAATGGCTTGGTGGGTGTGGCTTGGTGGGCATGGCAGGGGAAGGATACTGTAAAATCTCCATGCCCTCCCCACTCCTGGTGGAACGTTACCACTAGTTCTCCAAACTACTCAAAATTTCCGCTACCAGTTCTCCAGAACTGGTCAGAACCTGCTGAATACCACCTCTGGGGAAAACACATCACTAACAGAGCAAAAAACAATTTTAACAGTACCAAGGTTCTTTTAAGTTGAAATATATAGGGAATTCATGAAAAAAAGATTGTTGTAGCTATCTATGCTATGGTTAGGTGCAAAGGTCCATGCAGTTAAGCACAAGAATTCATGACATACTGAATTACAGTGCTCCTGGCTCTTATTATCTGAAGGCATGGGGCTGTTGGGGCTGATCAAGTCCTCCTTCTCAATATTAAATAAAATCTCATTGCTTAACTTGAAAACATTTAAAATTTATCAACATCCTCAAATGTCAAAATGTTGACATTCATTGTTCTGAACATTTATCAATTATTTGATAAATTATCAAACATTTGTCAATTATCCTCTAAGCAGAGATTCTGATCTCTTTTACAAATCAAATAAATAATTGGAAGCAAAAAGAACTGTTTTAATCACTGTGGTGTAGAATGCCATCATCCTTGAGCAGAAAATGCCTTCTGGGTATAATTAGTATCTCTCTAAGGCAGCAGCAGCATAAAGTGAAATAAATTGCCAAATATTTTGGGCTATAAAGCAAGGAGGATATGTATGTATTCTTCTTCCAATAGTAATGCAGTTGTACAATATACTTTGGGGTGCTAGTTTTTACAATCAATTATACAATCAATTGTAAGGTGATTGTTTATCAAAAAATAGGAAATAGACTGTTCTGAACAAATGCAGCACTATACTGAGCAATGGTTCAAATAACATAGCCTCACATTGCTTCCAAAAACACTATTAATTATATTTTTATACTTTATGATCAAAATAAATTTCTCTTCCTTCTCCGATGAAAGAGAGATTCAAATCTAGGATTGGGATGAAGTAAATGGTCATCAGCAACTAATTCTTTCCTTCAGCTTTCCTACCACAAATAATGCAAAATACAAATAACTTAGCACCAGGATACCTGCATACCTAATTTATCTGCTCCAACCCAGGAATGGGATTCAAATTTTTTAACAACTGGTTCTGTGGGCATGGCTTGGTGGTCATGTGACTGGGTGGACATGGCTTGGTGGTCATGTGACTGGCTGGGCATGGCCAACTCAATATCCCTCACATCGAGGCACACATCTTTCCCCTGGCCTCTCAAAATTGTAGGGATGCTGCAACAGTCATAAGTGTGAAAAATGGTTATGTCACTTTTTTCAGTGCCATTGTAACTTTGAATAGTCACTCCACACAAGCAAAGTACCAGCAAAGGAGGGGGAAAAAACTCCAGAGATGTTCCTGAGACAGGAAGTCTAGTCCTGCCAAGAATGTAATAAGGTTAACAGAGAGGCAGTTTCTGTAAGCAACACCAGAATGTTTCCTTCCTGCCTTCCTTACAGGATTAGGCCAGTAATTTCTTCTAACAACCGGTTTTCTGAACTGCTTAGATTGTTAACCGGTTCTAGCGAATAGGTGTAAACTGGTAGAATCCCACCCCTACTTCAACCTGAAGTAGCCCCACCTACTAGATGATCCAGGGGCAAATTTGTAGTCCCACATTTATGGGAAGTAAGAGGAAGCTGAAGCTAGCAGGCACCATTCCTCAGTGACAATTTTGGAGCTGTCTCCTCACACAGATCTGGTTAACCCGCTCCTTGATAACTTCCTAATAGTTTTCAGGAAGTTGTTTTAAAAATGTGCTATTTCAGAGTGGGTGCCAATCATGCTACCTAGCTTTCATATTTATATTTATCTGCTCTCATTTTTATTATGCTCATGTGTTTTCTTTTGTTTATGATTTGGAAATTAAACTTTTAAACACTGTGGGGTTGTTGTTGTTTTTTTTAAAAAATCCTTCTTCTATTGTGTTAGCCAATATTTTCCAATGCTACAGGATATAAACAAAACCAAAAGGCACTGCCCTCTACTGTTGAAAATAATTGGACAGGGGAAACATTTACCTTTGTGATACCAATAACCTTCAAAAATATTTCATTTCAGTTATTAATTCACTTATTTAGCTGTATTTTGTTAAATACATCTAAATCTATTGGTACATAAAAATATGTTTAATTCTTCTATGTCTTCAAAACACATTAACTCATCCATTTGGGATTTAGTTTATGTTCTCCTTCACCCATAAGAAGAAAAAGAAAGGAAAAATAAGTACTAGCCATAAAAACTGGACTGCCACTTATCCATATTTTACAAAGCAATGTTACATGTTGCAGTGCAGTACACAAGCACCAGATGTCACTACAAGTAAAGCACCATAGAAGAATTTTGATAGAAAAGAATAAATATCTAGGCATGGAATTTTAGCAAAACCTGAAATAAAAACATGTCTGCCTATTAATCACCAGGACCTGTACATCAAGAACTTTCTCATCAGATACTTTGAGGGAAATATATTCAATATTTTATGAATTTTTATTTAACTAGCACTGCCTAAAAACAAACAAGTTATAGGCATTTTGTTTTAAAAAGAAAGCAAAAGAAAGCAATTTAGACTTATAGAATAGAATATAAAAGTTGAGATTAATTTTGGAGGTCATATTGTCTAGTCCCTGCCCAAGACTGGAATTCTTTATTAGATAATCCCAAGCTTCTGTTTAGCATTTCAATAAAAGTGAGGTCACCCTTTTTTAAGGAGGTCTTATTATATAGCTAAACAGATCTTACTTTTGGGAAATTGAAGTCACTGGCCTAGCTCCTATTATTAACCAGTAGAAAAAGGACAGTTATGCATTTGTGGTTGGAGTTAACCACAAATGCTTTCAAAGAACTGTATAGTGCTTTAAAATAAAATTTAAACCAATGGAATTTGTCAGGAAGGATGACATATATTTCAGAATAGTGAGTATGAAAACTGAGCCTCAAATATTTAAGAATTATCTAAGTTTACTTGAGTCTTGAGCAACCTAATATGTTGGGACATTTTCTATCCTACCCTGTACATATGTACTCCTTTCCAGTGAGATTCCACTTTTTTTATTACCATTTCTGTGGGCGTGGCTTGGTGGGTGGGCGTGGCTTAGTGGGCATGGTAGGGGGAGGATACTATAAAATCTCCATTCCCTCCCCACTCCTGGGGAGTCTTGAGCAACCTAATATGTTGGGTCATTTTCTATCCTATCCTGTACTCCTTTCCAGTGAGATTCCATTTTTTTTATTACCATTTCTGTGGGTGTGGCTTGGTGGGTGGGGCGTGGCTTGGTGGGCATGGTAGGGGAAGGTTACTGCAAAATCCCATTCTCTCCCCACCCCACTAACCTGCTTTCCAGCTCCATTTTCCTATGAAGGA